TCTTCAGCCATTATTAATATCGTACATAGTTTTTCTTTTCTTTTTCGGGACCAGTTTTTATGTACTTGAATCAAATTTATATTATGTTATTGTTACTAGCCCATAAGATCACCTAAGCCTAATTATTAATTATAACTTTATTATTTGAAGATAGCTTTTATATGCGGAAACATTTATCAGCTGAGTTCTTGCACAGATCTTAAAATATAACGTTGATAAACGGAAACATCGGCACATGTAGATATGTAAATCTTGTTGTTTTGCACAACTCGACTTTCAAGATCTACATGTGCCGATGTTTCTGTTTATAACATTACTATTAATCCTACTAATAACTGTTGAGGTTCACTATGTATATGACAGAAAATGAGTGATTGCACCCAATGTTTGGTCAGTTATTTACAATGTTGCGCGTAACAAGCAAAAAATTACTCAATATTATGCAAAATGTTGACCTCAGTTATAGATTACTGTATAAAAACAACTCTTTAATTTGAGAAAGAACAATTAATTACAGCATATCGATTGATATGAGAGTTCGTTGAGAAGAAAATTCAGTAAGTATAGTTTTTCAAACGAGTGACAAAAATGATCCGGAACAAAACATTCAACCGCCATCTGGAAGAGTTAAAAAAAAAGCCTGTTATTTAAATCTCCTTTTTTGATAACTTATAAAATAAAAAAATACTGGAAAGAAAAATAAAAACACCATAAAAACTTTACTTATTGGCTGATGAATAATGTGTTTTTAGTTTCATGATAAAAAAGATAATATACATATCAACGAATCGAATAAAAACTTTTGATTAAAATATATTTATATAACAATATGACATAAAATTAGCAGCGTAAAACTAGGATAAAAAACAAGTTAATAATTAGTATCCTATTAATAATAACAAATTCACTAATTAATAATTAGACTTAGGTTTTAATATAGGCTGCTAGCTATACGATTGTCATAAGCTGTTAATACTTACTAGATAAGAGTAGCCGCTAGAGAAGCGAAAACTGTAGTAAGGATAATGTTAAATAATGTTGTCCTACATTCTTACTTTTGTTATCAAGTGAAGTATTATCTAGTGAAGGATGATAACACACACATCTTTATCATAAGATGTCCATTTGTATGCCAGTTTCATACATATTTTACGCAACTATAAGAATTCAGTGGAATTGATTTTATTTGCTATAAATTTTAAGTTAATTTCATATTAACACTAATTCCAACATTATTTTTTGGGATTTTCACATTAGCAATTTGTCCATTGACTAATGAATCTTTGGGTATACGTAGCCAGGCATATTAACCACTAGTCCACTTCGAGATACGAATTTTTACTTGTTTATGGTAAAGCCACCAAGGCTGTCTTGTGGTGTGTGTAATTTGGAATTGTTGATCACATGGAGAGTAAACAACCAGCAATACCCACCGCCAACTCTTGGATAATTATCTTTCCAACGAAGAGGTAAATTTACAGTCCGTCACATTCTTACTATTCCACCACTGTTTTTCGATCGCGCTACAGAGAGATTGAGTCGAGCGTCTTAACCATTATGCCATGCCAGGCCCGGAATGGAATGATATTGTTACGTCTCTGGTCGTTCGTTTGTTAATTTTCCGTAACAATTCTTTCCGAGAAACTTCAGCGATACAAGTCCTTTCTTAAATAAAACTAGTTTATTCTTTCTCAACTCAACTTTGCAATACACTTAATTTCCACAGTCGCTTTAACTTAAACACACGCTATAATTCACAACGATTCACGCACATTACCTACGGTCACTACCGCGCTTGACTCAATTGTATGTCTCTATCTTTGCCTGTCTGCAATTCTATTCTCTGCTGTAACTTCTTGCCGGTCTTATATATACAAAATAGAGGACGTCTGCCAAACACTCGAGCCTTCACGAACGTTCTAGATACTCATTACGTGTTACCAGCGTCACGTGAATTCCGCTGTCGTATCAATATGATAACTTATTACAAACCTAACAGTTATATTTACGTTTAGTTCTATCTGTAATCATAATCATATATACGAAGCTCCAATGCATCAATATTTTTAATTTGTCTCAGTTTTATATTTTGAAATTAGAGTACTTTTTAAAAATGAGATACTTAAAAATATTTATATATTTTTTAGTTTATATGGACCACCAATACGTCCATAAATGGAAAGGTATTATCCAGTACTCTCGAAACTGTGATATGAAATAAGTCAATTTGAACATGTAATTAGTATTTATGAAAACGCAAAGGAAATCATTTGTCGACAATCGGAAGAAATTCACTAATAATTAAGGTGTAAGAAAAAAAAAGCGTAGCAATTCATCTCAGATTTGCTATTTAAAGTTTAGGAGAGAACGTACTTTAACATTAGAAATAAGTTCCTTACTTACAGCCCCTCTCCCATTGGAAGAGCGGTATGTATGTGAATTTACAACATTAGAAACCGGGTGTCGATACTCGTTGTAGGCAGAGCACAGATAGCCCATTGTGTAGTTTTGAGCTTAACTTCAAACAAACAAACCTTACTTACGCTTGGTCCGTGGAATACATCAGAATATCTAACACAAAGAAAAGAAACATTATAAACACCATGAACTCTCTGTAAAATGGGGAATCTAACAGGTAGAATACATACGTTAAAAATACCATCAACTCTATGTAAAGTGGTGTATAAATCAGATACAATACAAACATTATACACACCGTCAACTCTATGTAAAATGGAATATCTGACAGATACAAAACTAAACATCCTTACTCTATCTAAAGTGGAGTATCTAGCAGATAGAATACAAACATTAAACATACCATTAACTCTATCTAAAGTAGAGTATCTAGCAGACAGAAAACACACATTAAACACGCCATCAAGTCTATGTAAAGTGGAGTAATTAGCAGAGAGAATACAAACATTAAACACGCCATCAACTCTGTGGAAAGTGGAGTATCTAGCAGATAGAAAACAAACATTAAACACACCATCAACTCTGTGGAAAGTGGAGTATCTAGCAGATAGAAAACACACATTAAACACACCATCAACTCTGTGGAAAGTGGAGTATCTAGCAGATAGAAAACACACATTAAACACACCATCAACTCTGTGGAAAGTGGAGTATCTAGCAGATAGAAAACACACATTAAACACGCCATCAACTCTGTGGAAAGTGGAGTAATTAGCAGAGAGAATACAAACATTAAACCTATCATCAACTCTATCTAAAGTGGGGTATCTAACACAGAAAACACACATTAAACACACCATCAACTCTGTGGAAAGTGGAGTATCTAGCAGAGAGAATACAAACATTTAAAGCATCATCAACTGTATGTAAAGTGATGTATCTAACACATTAAACACACCATCAACTATGTAAAGTGGAGTATCTAGCAGAGATAATCCAAACATTTAAACCATCATCAACTGTATGTAAAGTGATGTATCTAACACATTAAACACACCATCAACTATGTAAAGTGGAGTATCTAGCAGAGATAATCCAAACATTTAAACCATCATCAACTGTATGTAAAGTGATGTATCTAACACATTAAACACACCATCAACTATGTAAAGTGGAGTATCTAGCAGAGATAATCCAAACATTTAAACCATCATCAACTGTATGTAAAGTGATGTATCTAACAGATAGAACAAAAGCAATAAAAACATCATCATAACATAACAATAACACAATACGAAATACAAAATTAAAGGCGACGTTTGTTAAGTCTGGACATAATATTCTGACGTAAGTACTGACGACAGACGGTGGATAACTAGGTCTACTTTATTCTCATTAAGTCCATTATAGCTGCAACACGTGATGTAATGATTACAAGAGACTCGTGGCGGTAAACAGGCTTGACTCTTATCTGTAGGTGTATATTACCAGAGAGTTTACAAGTCTTCCTTATTGATAGTTTTTGAAGATCGTAACAACTTTACACATTTTTTACTCGAGTATTTGGTATTATTATGGAAAATAATGATCTATTTTGAATAATATCAAAAAATAAATAAATACAACAAACGTTAAACACTAAGCATGTCACACATATATTAAATATTACTTATGCCAGAAACATGTATACAAACATTGCTCCTGTCAAATGCATGTACGAGTTTTTATTTGTTGTTCAGCACAAGTTACACAATGGTATATCTGTGTTGTGCATACCACAGGTATCGTAACACGGTTTCTAGCATTATAAGCCTTCAGACTTACCGCTGAGCCAATGTATGGGAGAGGGCCACTAGTATAATAAAACTTAACTGAGGGCACACGTTAAGGTAATAAACATTTTATAAAGCATAACATTAGATAATGTTTCCCTTCATTCTTCCATGTGTTATTAAACCTCAGTGGCATATACCTAATTGTATACCCTACTTTGTGGAAGGTAATAACTGAGCTCTTAATTCATTAAGCACTTGTGTCTGAATTCAAAGCCAAAATTATATTTAAAAAAAGTGGAAATTAGCTCTTTTTCGGAGGCTTTTTCATTCTATATTTCGGGGCATAAATCTTAAAACAAAATAAACTTTGTACACCGTCGGACAGTTTGTACCTACCATACCAAAAATTATGGTAATTGAGCCAGTCAACTCTTGGTGATGGATGCTAACACATATACACACACATGTTCGATTGTACGTGTATATATTACTTACATCACGTGCGTGTATAATAACACAACTTAATAGCTACAAATTTTCATCAGAATACAGTATTGAAATGAATGTTTCTATTATATTTTAGTTGAGGTAATTCTAACTACACAGAAATAAGAGGTTTATGAAATCAATAGGCCACAGCTAAAAAATGGACTATCCGTATTTTATATATGTCAAGAGCTACTTACTTTTTAAATAGTATATATTAATTATGTATATGGGTGTGTTGTTGTTTGGCTTAGGATTCTTCTACAGTAGGTGTCTGTGACTTGTTGGCGATAAATTAAAATATAAACGAACAGCACTCACTCCACTTGCTTTCAAAATATATATATATATATATATATTTGGAACTAGTTAAACGTATGTACAACAAATTATTTACACTACAGAGATTATATGCATATCATAAACACTATATAGTTTTCTTCTTGGTGTCAAGAGTTCACTTAGTCCCATTCAATTGCTTTAGAATTTCAGTTGACAAGCCGAAATACCTTTCTCTATTTCTATCGCACTAGTATTCTGTGTATAATTCACTTACTTTACCTTGTTGAGTTACTGCAGTTGTATCCTGAACTTCCGATACTCGTATGATTTTTCGTATTTAGGTCTACTTCCAATAATCTGATTTTTTTTGTCAAAGTCCATATAGGCAGGTTCAATTATATTAGAACACCCTTTGACGAGACAAATTATTCTCCTAAAATGTCAAAAACTGTTAATCTCACTTTAACATATCAACCGTTATGCTATTCACTGCTACAACGGTTAACTTTACGTTTTCTAACCTTTTCTTAGGCCGCACTTCTACTTTCCATTCTCTAGTCTCTCGTTTGCTCTGTCTGGCGGCTATTTTCGCTAGTCTCATACTATCTATATGTTTATCACTTAATTGTCTGCTCGTCTTCTAGAAATCTCTATATT